TTTTCCTCACTGCCAGACTTGAATATCTCCTCCGCGATGAATGTAGCTGGCCTCTATCAATATCATCTGCCTGATAACAGGAGAACCCAACTTAAGACATACTTTGGAGTCTTCCTATGTAATATCAGTACTGGAGTCATCTCTCTTAAGACTGACGTTGCTATCATGTTTTGCTAAACTAGCACCTAAGTTGTCTTTGAATACATTGAACGCTAGATTGCTGATAACAATTACAAAAATTTATCTCTTTTAAGAAAAGAAAATTTTGCGCTCAATTGTGTGCGTGAAAACAAAATAGGTAAGGCAATTGAGATCGATTTTCATTCCATCTTGCTAAATGTCCCTCACGTGACAAATTGAATCATTTTGAGTTTTCTTTTAACTTCTCCCTTTATTTGCTACCATGTTGTTTTGGTGTACTTTATATTTATATTTTTATTTTTTTGTGCATTTTGTTTTGCTTTTGTTTTAATATGAAATAGAAAGATGTTTGGTATTTTAAATAAATGTTATTTTAGTTTTTATAGCATATTGCATTAGATGGCAATGACCACTAGCGATGGCGGTGATTGGTGGCCGGCAGCAGCGGAAAGTGTCCTCCATTGACACGTAGAAAATAATTAAAAATTATTTTGAGCATTGTAAAAAAAAGGAACTTGATTTGTGCTTGTAACTTATTTTTACAACGATTCTTCCCATGTTTCAACATGCATTGGTGTGATTCACTTGAAAGATTGCTTGTTTCTTCCTCTGCTTATTCTCAATCATCTGTTTCTTGGTCTTTTGTCCGAACCGAATGTATGATCTTTTGTTATTAACAGTAAGAGATGCAAACATATGGAGATGTTGTTCTTAAGGATTTTATACTATTTTCACTGTAAGTTCCTTCTTGCTTGGTTTAGGGCTAATCAGGGGCAGAACCAAGCTCCTTTTCTAGGGGGACAAACTGCCGTCCTAGACCTAATGTGGGAGAGAGGGCTAGGGCAACGAATGACAAAATGCTATTTTAAAAGGGTCAAAAGACCAAATTGACCTCTCATATAAGTAAAAGTTTGAACTTGAGGAGGGTCAATTTTCCCCCTGAACCCTTCCTGGATCATCCTCTGGGGCTAATAGATTTTTGTGTTTCTTGATTGATAATAAATCACTTGTATTTTTCTTTGCAAGCATAATAAAAAAAGATTCAGATGGAGATTACCTCATGATGTAGAGTTCAACTATACTCCTTGTTTCTTGCTTGCTATGTTTTCATTTCTTGGCTACAGTAGCCATTATACAACAGGGTTTGGCAGGGAAGGGGCAGTCAAGGTCCTTAGCTGAGGTAGTCCAGGAATTCCATTCCTTCGACTACAACAAGGAAGGAATTCTACAGTCCATTTTCCCTCGGCTACAACAAGGAGTTCAGTATTCTGCTGTCAAGAACCGAAGTCCATCATTTCTTTCGGTACTCCCAGTGCAATTCGACAACAAGGGGTTCGACAGAGGAACTCTGTGCTTCTTCCAGCAGCCTCCGACATTCCACTCCCAAGAACCGCAGGTGGTGTGTTGTATCCAATGACAGTAAGGAGTCCCGTGGGAATTCATCGAACAACAAGAAGTCTGCGGTAAGAAGTTCCTTCCAAGCAGTACAACACGGTTCTTTCCAACAGGAAAGAGGTACTCGGCGAGCTAGAGTTCTTAACATTTCTAGGTGTTTGGTGGTGCGATTTCACAACAATTGGCGCCGTCTGTGGGAATTTTAGCCACGATAATGGCAACCGCCAAATTTGACATCGAGAAATTCACCGTGAAGAACGACTTCGGCCTGTGGAGAGTGAAGATGAAAGCTCTGTTGGTGCAGCAAGACGTTGTAGAAGCCTTGCAAGCCCGGCGACATTGTCGGCCGACATGACCGAGAAAAAAAAGAACGAGATTCTGGACAGGGCTCATAGTTTGATAATCTTGAGCCTTGGCGATAAAGTTCTGAGAGAAGAGAAGTTTCGAGGGAGACAACGACTCAAGCTCTTTGGGCCAAACTTGAGGTCCTCTATATGACGAAGTCTCTGGAGAAATCTCTGGCTAGCAGACTCTTCTTGAAGCAAGACCTATACTGCTTCAAGATGCACGAAGACAAATCAGTTTCAGAGCAGATTGCCGAGTTCAACAAGATCATGGATAATCTTGAAAACATCGACGTCAAGACGGAGGACGAGGACAAGGCACTACTGTTGTTGAACTCCTAAGAGCTACAAGCATTTCAAAGATGAGATGCTTTATGGAAGGGTGTAAACAATTTCTCTGGAAGAGGTTCAAGCACTGATTAGAGCCAAAGAACTCCAAAGAAAACATGAGATGGACAAAGAAATCAACGGAGACAGTTTTACTGTTAGAGAAAGTTCAGACAAGAAAGATTCAAGAAACGGTCATAACAAATCAAGATCAAGAAAGGAGGGCAGAAATCAGTCATCAAAGGAATCTTTCGAGCGTTATCATTGTCACAAGGATGGCCATTTCAAGAAGAACTGTCCTGACAGGAAGAATAAATATCAAGAAAATCCTAAAGATCCTGGAGAAGCAAGCATAGCTTCGGACGGCTATGATTCAGCTGAAGCCCTGGTGATCACCGAATCAGAATCCAACAAGGAGTGGATCCTCGACTCGGAGTGCTCTTTCCACATGTGTCCTTATAATGACTGGTTTGAGACACTGCAACTGTCAAATGGTGGGTCCGTACTACTTGGAGATAACAAGAATTGCAGGGTGGTCGACAGTGGAACAATCAAAATAAAAATGTTTGATGGAGCCGAAAGAATATTGCAACATGTCAGGTACGTACTAGAGCTCAAAAGAAATATGATTTCTTTAGGTATGTTGGAGACAAACAGATACTCTTTTAAGGCGGAAAATGGTCATATCAGAGTAACTAAATGTTCTCGTATCGTCGTGAAAGGAGTAAAGATAAATGGGCAATATTCTCTAATCGGAAAAGCTGTGATTGTTAAGTTCAGGAACTGTCTGGACTTATTAGACTCAACCAAGGGCTAAGGGCCCCTCGGGGCAAGGTGGAGGGAATCTCTATTATGAAGCTTTGTAATTGAGAGTCAAGGTGGAGAATTGTTATATATGACTCTCAATTGATTAATTAAAGGCAATGACATACTTGTGATTTCCTTGTGAGCTTCTATGGTCTACTTGGGGGGCTTCATCTGTTTATAAAAAGATGAGGGAAGCTTGTAGGAGAATAAGACTACAAGGGAAGAAGATAGGCTTGTAGAGGGGGTAAAGGCTACTGCAAGGGAAGAAGATAGGCTTGTAGGGGGAAGATGCCACTACAAGGAGGAAGATAAAAATCAGACCAAGAAGACCAAGAAGGGAAAAGAAATCAGTCCAAGAAGAAGAAGAAAAGGAAGAGACTTCAAGAATTGAGGAAGGAATGTTAGATCTTGTATAGAGGAAGTTTTGAGAGGGAGAGATCTAGAAGAGTTTTCATCCCTTAATGTAAACAGCCTGTAATTCTTTTTTGCCTTAGTGAATTTTGTTGGCGATTCCCTCCCGTGGATGTAGATCTATAGACCGAACCACGTGGTTGTGTTCCTGTGTTTGTTTTTCTTATATTTCATTTCTTACATTATTTCTTCCTGTTTTTCCCTTGTATTGCTTGTTGTGTTTTCATTTCTTGGCTACAGTAGCCATTAAACAGCAGGATTTGGATTTGGCAGTCAAGGTCCTTGGCTGAGGTAGTCCAGGAATTCAATTCCTTCGACTACAGCAAGTAAGGAATTTTACAGTCCATTTTCCCTCGGCTACAACAAGGAGTTTGATATTCTGCTGCAAAGAACCGAAGCCCATCATTTCTTTCGGTACTCCAGGTGCAATTTGACAACAAGGGGTTCGACAGAGGAACTCCGTGCTTCTTCCCGTAGCCTTCGACATTCCACTCCCAAGAACCGCAGGTAGTGTGTTGTATCCAACGACAGCAAGGAGTCCCGTGGGAATTCATCGAACAGCAAGAAGTCTGCGGCAAGAAGTTCCTTCCAAGCAGTACAACATGGTTCTTTCCAACAGGAAAGAGGTACTCGGCGAGGTAGAGTTCTTCACATTTCTTGGTGTTTGGTGGTGCGATTTCACAACACATAATTATTAAATTTTTTTGGGGCCCCTCAGATACTCTTATCTATATCGAGAGAATAAGGAATTAAAGCAAAGCCTTTGGCCTTCTGATTTGTGAGAATCAATTGGAGTTACATATACGAAATAACTTCAGTTTAATATAATAATAAAGGGATTATATCCTTAATTGACTTAAACAATCGACTTAATCCTGATTTCATTGAATAACCAGAAAGCTGTAGAGAATTACAAGGCCTTGAATGACTAATTTGGATCCTAAAATAACTTTAAACAAAATAATAGCAATTGACCATAATACAATTGTCAGTGATATTGTCTTTAAAAAAATATTTGCAATGGAAAAAAAAAAAGAAAATATGTAAATTGAATATTTGATTCTCCACATATTCTGTGATGAGATCAGATATGATGCAAGGATTATATCACTCCATTTGAATTCTTATTGAATAATTTGATATTGTGTGCACTTCAATTCCAACTTTCCCCACCACTTTATGCTTTAATTTCTAATGTTTTTGAACTTCCCAACAAGTCATGAGAAGTCATAGATGAATCCCACTTAATCTGTTACTGTTGCGTGACAATGATTAGTAAGCATAATTAAAACCACATATAATTAAACTTGCCACACAAAGACAAATCATGGGTTGGTGTTCAAAAACCTTTTTTTTTCATATTTTTCAAATGAAGCGGATAGTTCAAAAGAAGAAAAATAATAAAAATAATCCAAAAGTCTTAGTGGTTTGATATTCAGAGACTTTTGATGGTTTCAGACTTCAACTCTCAGTCCCATAATTAAGTCCAATCTAGAAAAAGAGAATCCCACTAAATCTGTCATATTAATTTATATACTTAGCATTCCCACTAGAAAAATGTAAATTAATTCAAACTATTTATAAGAATTTCTTCAAACTCAGCTATAAATGCTCCAATCCCTGGTCCTCATCCCCATCTCTCAACCAACCAACAGCTCATCCATGGCAGCAGGGAAGCTGGAGGGGGCTACGTTTTCTCTGCTTCAAGCCTTCCTTCTCCTCCTCCTCTGTTCCAACGTTCCAGGAACAGCTTTTGCTGCTAAGATTAATGTCGGAGGAGCGCTGAACTGGACTTTCGGATTCAACTACACTGATTGGGCTCTCAAAACTGCACCTTTCCATCTCAACGACACCCTCGGTAAACTCCCTTTTTCTGAAACTCTGTCCCTCAAATATTCTGTCCTGGTTGTGCTTAGGGAAATTAATCATGGCTGCAGTGTTCAAGTACGATCCTCCGAACGCCACAACGCACGCACACAGCGTGTATTTGGTGAAGGATTTGCAGAGATTTAATGGGTGCGACTTGAAGAGAGCGCAGGTGGTTGGGAATGTGATGCAGGGAGGAGGAGAAGGGTTGGAGTTTGTGCTCCGGAAGAGGAAGAATTACTACTTCGTGTGTGGGGAGAAGCAGGGCTTCCATTGCTCGACTGGTCTCATGAGGTTCTTCGTTCGTCCTGTCAAACGCTGCGTGGGCTGATTAGGGTTTTAGAAGTCAGGGAAGATGCAGTGCGTGCATGCTCTTGTCTTGATTTGTTCTGCTTTCGCTCTCTATCGATCTCTAATTAATTACTTTTATGTGCGAGTTAATGATCTTTGGGAGAGTTGTTTAGGCTTAAGCTTTTGTGATTCTGCTTTAATATGACTGCTAAAGTAAGATTTGCTTGCAATTATTAATAAGATTGTTTGCTAACAATATGATATTTTTTTGGATAATAATAAAGTTTATCATTAAAAAAAATGAAAATAATGATCTACTTTCCAATATGTCGAGTAATGTAGCCGAATCAAGCCAACTTATCTAAAGATATTTCTTTTTTTTTGTGATTATAAACGAGGGGAGGGGCTTTTATTTATAGCCCTATCAAAGCCCAATGAAATATTCTAGAATACATTAGATTATTCTAGTTTCTTGAGAGTTCTACACTCCTCTCTTATGTACATACAAAACTCTAGAATTTTTTGTTTAGCATTCTCCGGAATATGGTGGAATCTTCTAAAGTCTCTTGGATACTTCTTTATATTTTGACCTTCTCTAGAACCTTCCATCTCATGAGGGTCTTGCCAATTTCTAGAATATGGTGGAACGTGACACTCTCCCCTACTTAAGCTCGCAATGCCCTCATTGCGGCTTTCCATTGGCACTCAGACCAGCTTCCTTTATTTGCTCTTGACAAACTTGGTTTTTTTTTTTTTGGACGCATGGGGGAGGGTTGCCATGTAGTGAGACTTCATGGCCGGTGACTCGGTCTTTGGCTCCAGGCTAATCCAATGAACTTTCTCAATTCTTGGTGATAGTTCTTTAAGAACCTCCACCACTTCCCTTGGAAAGTCTTTTTGGGTCTGTACCACTTTCCTTGCCAAGTGACTTCCCTTATCTTGTGGAATGTTCTCCTTAAATTGAACGACTAATAGCATGTTGTCTTCCTGCTTGCTAGCTCTTATTGTTGGTACCAAGCAAGCTTGGATGCCTTCCATGATGCACACGCTATTGGCAAAGTACATTAGGAATGCTCTTCCTTGATTCAAGAAGTTCATCCCATAACAATTTTAAAATCATCCATTGGAATAACAAAGAAGTTTAAGATACCTGAACACGTTCCAATACTAGTCTTTACTCCTTTGACTAATCCATGGATTGACTTTACTGCTGAGTTGACTATCTTGATGAAATCTCCTCCTTTAGTCGTTTGCAAACCCAATTTCTTTGCTTCTTCCACGGAGATGAAGTTGTGAGAAGCGCACGTGTCCACCATTGCTCAAGTGGTCTTCTCGTCTATTACTATCTCTAAAAAGAGTAACCACTTCACTTGGAGTTTTACTGGAGCTTGCATCTCTTTCAGCAGTTGTATAACCCCCACCTGTGTTGTCATATCGCTTACCTTTTCCTCTTAATGACTTGCAAGGAAAGAGTTCAAAGCCTTCTTTTGAGGACAATTCCTCACCTAATGAGGTCTTTCACGAAGGAAGCAATTGCTATGTTATTTGGCTTTGGCATTCTTAGGCTTCCATTTGTCTCTCGCCTTGGATGAAGTCGATTAGTGGCAGGTCTCTTTCGTATGTTGATCCTTATCTTCCCCCTCTTTGACTTAGTTACTCTTCTTATCATTTATCTTTATGAAATCCTTTATATAGTCGACCAAGCTTTCCGCAACAGCGATGACGGTAGTGAGATCTTGTACTCCTTACCTGCTAAGCTCGGTCTTCTCTCATTGTTGAAGTCCATCTATAAAGTTAAATAGAACGTCCTTGTCAGACATGTCAAGGATTTCAAGGACCAATCTAGTGAACTCCCTAATGTACTCCTGAATCGATCTCTCTCACTTGAGCCTTCGCAATTAGGCTCTAGCCTCATCCTCTGCATTCACAGGGTAGAATTGCCTCTTTAGCTCTCTCTTGAAGTCATTGAAGGTAGATACGGTGCACATACCTTTGGCAATATCTTCACATCTTCTTCTCCACCATAGCATAACAATGTCTAAGAGATACATCGTAGCAAATTGTATTTTTGCCTCTTCATCCGCAATCTCCATCGATCCGAAGTATTGCTCCAGTCCCCATAAGAAGTTGTCAACTTGTTTTGCGTTGTGAGCTCCTCCAAAACTCTTTGATTTTGGAGCTTCAATCCTCTTAGCTTTGAATGTGCGATGGTTGGTGGGTGTCACTAGTGCCCTCTTACATAGCGAGATGTCCCCATGCATTTTCTCCAAACTAGCACGTACGTTGCTCATCTCTTCTTCATGGGTTCTTCGTACTTCTTGGAGCTCTCCTTTCAAGTCCTCCCGCATCTTAGCCATTTGGTCCCTTAAAGACTCCTCTAGTTGGGGCATCATGCCTTTGATTGTTGAATGGATGGTGATGTCCTCCTCCTCGAGTCCATCAACCCTTTAGTCAAAATCATCTATTCGGGTCTCCACGCCATTCATTGCCTCCTCCAACCGAGCAAGGCGCGAATCAAAGTCATGCATGATCTCCTTGGACCTCCCATGTGGTTTGGATGCGACTGTGTCTCGTTGCTCCAGACGACCTTGCCATTGTTGAGATGATTCCACGTTAGTGGCTTCAGACTCCATTGTGTGTCCTTTGACGCTCTTTGTCATACCTTCGAAATTAGCTCTGACACCGACTGTCACGGGCTATTTTTTTTCTAGTCATTTGTACGACTTTAACGCTCTTTTTTAGCACTAAATCAGCCTAATATCCTCGCAATATTTGGACTTGAAAACACAAAACACTCTAAAAAGAAAAGTACGGAGAAGTATTTGAGAAAGGAATAATTCAATAAGAAGAATAATTACAACACTTGAACGCTTGAATGCTTTCTTAGGTGATTACAAATGAAGGGAGTGATTCTTATTTATAGCCCCCTCCAAATCAAGAGAACATTTCGAATACATTAGATTGTTCTAGTTTCTAGAGAGTTCTACACTCCTCTCTTATGTACATATATATAGCTATAGAACTTTCTGTTTAGCATTCTCTGGAATGTGGTGAAATCTTCTAGAGTCCCTTGAATGCCTCTCTATATTTTGGTCTTCTCTAGAACCTTCCATCCCATGAGGGTATTGTCAATTTCTAGGATATGGCGGAACATGACATGTGGTTGTGATTCAAGGCTACCCAACTCCAGTATGAACGTGATCTCGGACTCTGCATGCAGCTTATGTCCAGACTCCGAACGCAATATTTTCTCCTTACCTAAACGTATCGACATAAGTTATCTCGTACATCTGAATATCAGCAATCAATAGCATGGCGATATTACCATGTGGGCGTTGTCGCATTAAAGTCCATGCGCCCAACCGACTTCAATTTGCTCTGCTGAGGTATTTACAACGTGTCCTTTCATCATATTAGAAGATTTACATAAAGCTTAATTTCTATGGATCTTTCATGTGCCCACTGACTTTAATTTGATCCGCTGATTTATTAGGTGGTCCGACTTCCCTATTTATCTTTTATATGATTTACTTATTTGCCGCTTAATTTCTATGCATCTACAAATTTGATGCCTAAACTTCAAATATATATGGATAAAAACAGAGGAATTGGGTGGAATGTATGGAAATAAAAGAATGACGCAAAATAATATATAAATTTTATCGAAATTCATTTAACCAATGTGATTGTACATCAAAAATTTGTTAGCACGAATTTGAAGCGGATCAAACGGTTAATAAAGAAGATGACGTGACGGCTCATGACCCCCCAGAAACAATTTTTGAGCCCATAAATAGTCCGAAGATGGATGGATCTCGACCATCCTACCAAAGTGTTATTGATACTAACTTCACATGGGTGAATCAGCCGGCATTTCTCAACCAGGTCTTATGAATGGTAAAAGCAATCTAGATTTAAATTCGTCAGAAGGGGCCTCCTGATTCACCCTTCGGCCATAACCATTCAGATAATGACCCGGACGTTCATTGCCTCACGCTCCCCGAGCAAGGCTGCTAGGCACGAAATCTGGTCGGGCGACATCTCAGGCTTCCGACGATATCTGGTCGGACACCATTTCAGGCTATCAGCCTTATAATTATGTATTGTCCAAAATACCTTTCATTGTACGTACTTTACTAGGGGTAGAAAATATAACTTTACAATCTCATTCCTATAAATAAGGGCTCATTTCATGAATAATGATTACACGATTTAACAATTGATTACTAAGCTCTTTATGCTATTTTCCTCTCTCTAACGTTCTATTCCTTATGCGTGTCTCTCAGACAGCTCTGGATTCAACAATTATACGTTTTATTATGAAATAATGATGAATGTACTGTCAAAGGCTTTCTCCCCAAACTCAAAAAATACAGGCTCCTCTTGCAATGCACCTAAATGGTTCTACATTCAATTGCTGAAATCACTCACTTTTCACATATTTAATTTTTTTGGTTTTGCAGTAAATATTTTCTTGCTACCTATCTAAATAATTAAGGCCACTTCCATAATTTTTGTCAAAAGTAAGGGTTATTAAAGAACTTTTCCACTTCCCTCTCAAGCATTTAGAGTTAACTATAAACGAAAGCTATATATATATATATATATATATATATAAAGAGATTTTTTTCTTCAATCATATGGTATCATCATTTTGAATTTAATATTTAATGATGAAAAATTCACGTAAATCATTTTGTTTTTGTTGGATAAAATTTAAATTTTAATTTACTTGAAGATATACCATTTTTTTCTAATTTTTTAGTATTGAGTGGATGATTGATTTCATTGAGTGACCTGGTGACACAAATTATAAGCAAAAGATATAGGATAGTGATATATTGGATCTATGAACTCCCTTCTAAATTGGGCTTTCAATTGCCCAATTAGGATAGAGAAGAGATCACCCTAAGGATGGATTAGCAAAGACTCTAGAAGTGATGAAGTACATTGGGTTGGCAAAAATAATCAGTTAGAATAAGGTGCATGGAAGTTCTAATAGGAGGCTTCTTTCCAAGTAGGAGAGCAAAATTTAAAGCACACTTTAATCACTAAATTATTATTTAGTTGCTTCTCAAACTCAAAATGAATGGTTCACTGGCATGTAATCAAATTTTAGTGATTTATAAACATTTTTTTAACAATTTATTTCTAATTTTTAGCATTTTATTGCCATTTTGAAGACATTATTGATATAGGCTCTCTTTATATTTTCTTCCTAAATAAAATATT